TATTTGCTTGCGATTAGTAATAAACATGAAAAGAAAAATGTTTTGTTTATTTTATTATATTTTTATTCTTATGGGACCATTATTTTTTAGGGTCGGATAAAGGCTGATCTAAATACAGTTACCTTAAAAGTCCGGTCATGGACTCACCAGCTTCGATCGGAGCTGTATCAGATAGAGCAACGGTGGAACCATCACTCTGTTCCGAGGTAATAGGCGAAGTCCGAGAGACTCCGTTAGATGACCATACTTGTTTCGCAAGACACGGGATATGATCTGGATATGGATACAATCAGATTCTTATTAAGTCTTGGAGTTCCTACAATCTAGGAATTGGAATGTGCGTCAAGTAGTCACAACTCCTAAGAGGGTGTAATATCTATTTTTAGATATCCTGTAGGATTCTACCGACTTAGAACAAGGATTTTATCCTGAAAAAAGTCTTTCTCTCTACAGTACAAACACCCCATCTAGGGTTCATCTCTGGTAACATAATCTTTATATTTGAATTCTCTTGCCCACTACTTGAGCCTAACATTGTTCACTAACTTGACTGTTGGAAAGCCTTTCGCCGGTACCCCCGATCCTAGCCTTGCTCATGGTTGTTTACGATTTTGCAGGTTGCTCAAGTTTGTGCACTTCCTCCACACACAGTGATGCGCAAAGGCTCCAAAAAGAAAAAGAAAAAAAAGGCAATTAGACCAAAAGCATCAACCCATTGAGCTTCCCTTGCAACTGAAGCCCGGGCTTGCGCCTCTTAAAGTGACAGATGCCAGCAAGAGACAGAGCCTCCCTTCCCAATGTGGCACAACATAGAGTCAAATGACTTTTTTTCTATGCAAACCCAGCCATTGGATTTCCAATGGCCTTTGCATCTAGACTGTTGGATTTCCAACAATAAAAAGTTGCAGCTTTTTGTTCAACTACCACATTGCGAGATCTTGGGCATCCAACAGTAATAATTTTGAAATCAATGGTCAAGATTATTCTAACGGTAAAAAATCCAAAAAAATACCAACATTTTTTTCTACAAATACCTAACCATAATTTTCATTCTCCACATCACAACTCAATATTTATTTTCACTACAATCTCCTATATTTTTTTTCTACCTCCCAAATCCTTTTGTTACCAAGAAAAATGAATGAGAAGTTAAATTGGCCGATTGGGGAAGACATATGTTTTGCTTCAAGCTTCGATGCTTGTTACTCATGACCCGATCACGAGAAATTAGATAAGGGTGCAACATATGTGGAAAAAGATTCATGCACAATTTATTGAGCAGATTCAAGGCACTCCCCGAAGTAAGCAATCTATGTCAAGTAGGTACAGACATATGCGCAAAGATTTAAAAGCTTGGCAAGAAGCCCTTGCAAAAGCAGAAGGAATTTATCGAAGTGGTGATAATTTAGCCAATGTGGTAATATGATTTTACTATTTAATAAATTAAAAATGTAATTTATATGTTTTTTTAACATTTGTTATGTAAATCTTTATGTTGTTTCACAATTTTTTCAGCAATTACAAGCTCAAATGGGGTTCAATCTTTATAACGAGAAATCATTCACAAGGCACGAATGTTGGAACATGTGAAGCATACTCCCAAGTACATAGTTTTGCCTACTGGTCCACAAGTTCAGTTGAACAAGACTCCATTGCAAGAATCAACTACTGAAGTGTCGTCATTGGAGACCCCAATTAAATCAGTCACACGAACTGAAGAAACCTCAAGGCCTATTAGTAAGATGGCTGCTAAGAAAAAAGATGCAAGAGGGAGTTCTTCAAATAATGATTATTCAAAACAAGTGACGAACTTGCTCGCCAACATTCACTAAATATGGAATGAGACATATTAAACATATGAGCAAGACAAGGCTAGAGATGAAGCAAATGCGAGAGAAATGGAGTTAAATAGGCAAGAAAACCAAGAGGAGAAGGATTGGGAGACCATGTCCCGACACCTCGACGATGAGTCTCCTAATTCAAAAGTTTTTGGAGAAATGAAAAAAATCGAGTCATAAGAAGAAGGTTTTCCGCGAAAGATGAGAAAGTTCCATACACTCCAAGGGATGAAAGACGGACTGATTTATTAGAATTTGACTTTATTTGAGAAATAATGACATGTGGAGAATGCCATAAAAACATAAAGAAAAAAAGAAATGTGTGAATAGCGATCGCCTTTGCTCCTGTCCTCCCTTTTTACAAACAGGTGGACAAACAAAAGCACTGTCTGTGTACTTTCTAATTTGCAGAAATTTCCTTTTGATTCTAATAAAATTAGTGCTCCATTTCCATTTTATTTAATTCACTCTGATGTTTGGATGTCCTCTACGCCGTCTCTTTCCGGCTTCCATTATTATGTGTTATTTACATATGATTATAGTCATTACTCATAGATTTTCCCTATGCATGCCAAATCCGAAGTTTTAACACACTTCGAATCACTTTACAATATGGTGAAAAATATATTTAATTTGTCCATTAAATTTATTCAAATTGATGGTGGTACAAAATACATTAAAACTTCTTTTAATTTCTTTTGTCAAATATAGGAATCATTCATCATATATCATGCCCTTACACCCCGAACAAAATGGTCTTGTGGAGAGCCATCATCATCACATCTTCACTGTCACACGTCTCTCCTTAACAGCTCTCATGCCCTGTCCTCTCTCTAGGTCGAAGCTGCCCTTACAGCCATCTTTATTATTAATTTTCTTCTATAATTTTCTTCTTTCTTTGAGTCTTGGTTGGTCTAGTCCCTATTTTCGTCTCTTTGGTCACCACCCCAATTTGTCACCCCTTCGTATGTTTGTTTGAGCGTGTTACTCGCACTTACAAGCTTATGTTACTAACAAATTGGAACCTCGTTCTAAAAAATATGTTTTTGTAGGTTAAAGCATGCAATAAAAGGATATTGGTGTTTTGATCCGGCGAATAATCGGGTTTTCATCTCCCGTCTTGTCACATTCGACGATACCACTTTCCCATTTTCCCGTCATGCTGCCCCTGCAGCCTAGTCTAACATTGTGCCCCTCCTAAAGCACAGCAACACTCAGCTTTCACCTCTGTTCTAGCCTGCAGCACCTAGCTCAGTTGCTCTAGTCACTCCCGCCTTGCCAAGCCAGCCTAGGAGTGTTTCCTGCTTTTATTGCTGCTAACTCTATGCTCAGTCCATTCCGCCTCAACCCAGCGTGCCTCAGCCCAAAACGCCTGCACTTGGGCCGCCTCTTCTCTCCAGTGCTCCAGACCTTGCAACCTCGCATTGACCAAGCCGGCCTTGATGGGTCTACTGATCAGCAGGTCGTGCACTTTCCAAGCCTTCCCATGCCTACATTAGTCCATCCCAAGGTCACTCGTCCTCGCACTGGCCACTTTAAACCCAAACAATTCAACGATGGCACCGTCCGCTATCCGCTATCTGCTTCCCCACACACTCACTGCCTCTACTTCTGATATGCCCAAGCCTACTTGTTTTACGCAAGCTTCTCGCCTCCATTAATGGCATGCTGCAATGGCAGATGAATTTAATGCCTTGCTTAAAAATGGTACATGGTCTCTTGTTCTGTCACATCCCTCTCAAAATTTAGTTGGTTGCCAATGGGTTTTTCGTATTAAGCGTCATGCAAATGGTTCTATTAAGCGCTACAAGGCTCGTATAGTTGCTATAGGCTTTCAATAACATTATGGGTTTGATTATGATGAGACGTTTAGTCTAGTTGTCAAGCCAGCTACTATTTATCATATACTCAATTTAGCAGTCATAAATGGTTGGTCCATTCATCAACTGGATGTCAAAAATGCATTCTTACATGGCCACTTACAGGAGGATGTTTTTATGGTCCAACCCACGAGCTTTGTGGATCCTAACTGCCCTCATCACGTCTGTAAGTTACACAAGGCACTCTATGGTCTCAAACAGGCTCCCGGTGCTTGGTTTCACCGCTTCAGTAATTTTATACTTCATCATGGTTTTGTACAAAGCTTGGCCGATCCTTCTCTCTTTATCTTTCACCATGGTACTACTCATCCTATCTTATTACTTTATGTAGATGATATTATTTTAATTGGGAATAATTTTGTGGCTTTGCACCATTTGATGTAAGGATTTTGGTCCGCTTCATTATTTTTTGGCCAATAAGGTCCGACCTACTTATGTTGGTATTGATCTTTCTCAAACTAAATATGCTCTCGACTTGCTTAAGTGGACAAGTATGATTGATTGTAAACCATGCAGTACTCTGATTGCCTCTCATACACAATTATCTAATGAGGATGGTACTCCGCTCTCTAATCCTTCGAAATTTCGTCATCTATTGGGATCTCTATAGTATCTCACCTTACTCGTCCAGATCATGCTTATGTTGTCAATCATCTTTCTTAGTTCATGTCTCGTCCTACTCACACACATCTGATTGCAGCAAAACTTATACGTATTCTCCGGTATGGTATGGTGACTATTGACCATGGATTACTTTTCGGCGCTCTTCTGTTCCTCCTACCCTTCGTGGCTATTCCAATGTTGATTGGATGGGGGTCTGGACACTCATTGCTCCACTTCCGGATTTCTTATTGTTTATGGGCCTAATTTAATTTCTTGGAGTTCCACTAAGCAACCAACGGTCTTCCGTTCTAGCGTTGAATCCGATTATAGGGCTTTGGCTCATGCTTGTACTAAATCGATTTGGCTTTCCTATGTTCTTTGTGAGCTTCGTCATCCAGTACGTTCACCTATTTTCTTATTCTATGATAATTTGAGCACTACCTACATAGTTGCAAATCCGTTTTTTCATGCTCGAACGAAGCACATGGAGGTAGATTATCACTTCGTTAGTTAACATGTAAAAATTGGTACCCACAAGGTGCAATTTATTCCTTCTATCAACCAACATGCGGATGTTCTTACCAAGAGGCTTCCATCCCCATGCTTCGCACTCTTGAGGTCCAAACTTGTCACCATGCTGTAGGATTACTTGTAAACCCTGTGGGCTTAGGATTAATTGTATCTCAAGTCAATTGATTAGTATATATTTGTAATATTGTGTTATCAATGAAATCAAGGAATTACAATTCTACAGAGTTGATATAAAACCAATCTCCAAACTAAAGCAGTGTAAAGTGTAAAAGTCAGCTTATTTGGTTCCATAACGCCATACATTCTTCGTCCGTATCTTTTTCGGCCACCAGAAGACGGTGCCATGAAAATTCTTCATGCTGCTACGATTGCAAACTGCATCGAACCCTCCAACGTTCCGGTTTGTTTGAATTAATCTTCCCCTTCTTCCCTCTCCCTACGGACAGCTCCAAAGTGGCTTATCAAGAGGTCAACAACCAAGGGCACCAAGTCCTTGCAAGGGACACTCTTCTTATAAACATCTCCCAGATGTGAGTCACTCCCTATTCTTCCTCCCAAGAAAACATCAGCCCCTTCACAAGGCTTCCCATTCTCATCCCTTGCCATGCACCCCATGAAACCAATATCCGCCACTTGCACTTGTGCACAGGTATTTGGACACCCTGTCCAATGCATCCTCACCGGTCGAGTCACTGCCACGTGCCTTTCCACCTCCTCGGTCACCTTCAAGGCCCTTGCTTTTGTCTCAATGATTGCTTGCCCACAGAACTGGTTGCCAGTGCAGGCCACCAATCCTTTCATGAGAATTGAAGGTTTGGGGGAATACTTATTTTGCAAAAGAGGCTCTTTGAGTAATGCTTCAATTCTTGAATTCTCTACATTGGGGAGGATTATGTTTTGCTCCACGGTGAGCCGGAGTTCCCCTGTGCCATACTCATCGGCTAAACGAGCTAGCTCATCCATGTCATCTGCTTGAAGCCGGCCTACAGGAATGTGAAGTCCCACATAGCTTAAACCTTCTTGTTTCTGCGGATGGACACCCATATAATCTCTCCTTTCCCATTGCTTCTTAACCAGGTCTTCGGAAGATGCTCTCACCAGGTCTTCGAAAGGCATTCTTTTCACAACCTCTGACCTAAATCCTTCTATGCCCTGCATTCGTACGATGTTCAAAAACTGTCAGGCAAATACTATAACAAAAATTCTTGAGTTCGGCAATATACATTTAGTGCACAAAAGAAGAAAAACAATTCGATCGCATTCTGATTTGCTACTAAACATTTTATATAATGTAGATCTTCGAAATTTTTGTGAGGGTTTTCTCTGTAATAATATAGAAACATAGTACACCAAATTCAGTAACTTGGGAGATTACACTTATTACCGCATATTGAAACTAGGACTATTATAAGTCGGACAACAATTACTTACTAGTTCATCAATCAACCACATCATTCTTGTTTTTTGTCGGTTCCCTCTGAAGCCAAGGTCTCTATAGGCCTCTAGTATTGCTTTGCAAACTGGGATCACATCATCCGCGGAGACCCAGGCATCAAGGGGAACTGCCTCTGCGCATCGCTTGGGACTGAAGAATCCTCCAACGAGCAAATTGAATCCGAATCTGCCATCCTTTGTTGCAGGCATGTAAGCAAGATCGTTGATGTGGGGATGCTCGAAAAGGTCATGAGTGCCCACCACAGCCACATTCCACTTTCTTGGCCTGCTCAGATGAACCAAACTTAAGAGACCAAGTATTTCTACTCATGTAAAAATTAAGCCCCTAATTGTATACAAAGAACGGAACAGTATTTTCAGCATATGCGGGAGCCAAAACACTTACAAGTTTGTGACATTTGGATTTCCAAGTGAATTCCCAGTGATATATTGAGACAACAAGTTTGTGTAAGGTCTTGTATCGACAACCTCGAGTGGGTCAATGCCTGCAAGAGGATTTCCAACTGGATTTCTCACATTGTCCATGCCACTCTGCAGACTCGTCAATCCAACTTCGGCAAGACCTTTCAAAATTTCCAGCACATCCGGCAGTACTACTCCGCGGATTTGCCAATTTTGCCTTGTTGTGACATCCGCACAGCCATCCTTGCCATATTTTCTTATCACACTCGCAAGATATCTCGTTTGTGCACTTGTTGTGACACCATTTGGTAGCTTCAATCTCATCATAAATCTACCATCTGGTCAAGAAAATTTGATTAAGAACATATGGAAACCATGAGGTGCTTGATGGGTGTAATAAAAAGATGTCAAACAATCTGCCAATCTTCTTGTCGGACCTTCAACTTCGCACATTAATTAAACGAATTCATGTTCTAAAGTGCGATCCTTATTAATAATCTGACAACATAACATAGCAACATCGACAATAAAGACCATTACCCTCACGAATATTCGAACTAATTTACTGACCTGAGTCATTCAAATCATATAACAAATATATATCAAACTAACTTACAATGTTGCTTTCTCCTGTGGAAAAGCCCAAGCCACTTGAGCCTGACATCGATATCATCCTTAGTATCCTTAGCCTTGTCAAGTTCCTCAAAAGAGATCTTGGCAAGATCTTCAATCCCACCTTCCATGAAAAGCTTCATAGGCTCCCTCTCAATCTTCACCTTCTCCTGAACATTAATCCCTCCTCTAAACTTCTCCTTCAAAACCCAGTACCCATCTCTCTCCTCCACTCTAGGTTCCAGCCTCGCCGCCTCCACCTCGGCAGAAACCGGCGCCACCGGGGTGGTGGCAGCTGCCAGCCTTGTTGCCCTGCAGTAGGGAGCTGCTGAGGACAGGGGAGGGGATAGGAATAGAACAGAGAGGGATGGTGACATGGTTGATAGTACTAGAAGTATGCTGCCGCAGGTAATGATAGCAAAGAGCTGAAGATTTTGGTGGAGGTGAAGTGGGAATTGAGAGAGAGACGAGGAGGGTGTTCATTTTTGTAGGTGAAGGTGTAGGATCAGCGGTGGCTGGTGAGGACCTTAGGAGGAGGGAGAGGTTTTTTTTTTTTGTTGAGAGTGGACTCTTGGGTGGTGCCAAGGGTCATCTGTGTTTTGGGTTTGTGTTCACCAATTTGTTTCTGTTTTGTTTTTTCATACCAAATGCCAATTGGATAATTGTCTTTGTGGGGTGGTGTGTCAAGCATGTGCCACGTTATGGAGATGTGTTTATCAAACTTATTTTTCCATGCTCTTCTTAAGCTTAAGTCGGTTAAAGTGGACATTTCATATCATGCTGGAAAAGATTAAGCCGTTGTGGTTGGCCAAGTATGAAATTTGCAAATTGTCTTAAGCCTTTAAAACTGCATAATCTCTGCCAATGTGTACGTAAGTGGGGGTGAAATAGCTCGATATTGACAGTTTCAGGAGTAAAGTGAGATAAATTCAATTTTAGGCAATAAAGTGAGACTAAAAACTAAAAAACTATGCCTTCTAAAAACTAAGTACGACATTACTGCAAATGTGAATTGTCCTAGTGGTTAAGATCTTAACCTGGTAATTTCCTGCACGACTCTATAACCTAACACGAAAAGACATGAAAATAACGAGTTTCGGATCAACACATTAACTAATTGGGTCATTCACCTAATAAGATATGGGTTCTTAACATATTTACTTGCAAGTAACCCGTTAAGAAAAAAAATTAGTTTGATAATTTTAAACTACTGAATAAATCTTACTAATTATTACAATAGTTATAGTATGGGTAAATTACCTGATAAATTACTGAATAAATCTTACTAATCGGGTCGTTCACCTGATAAATTACTTGACAGCCACGTCATCACTTAATAGATTTTCTAACGAATGTATGAAATTGAAATAAAATAATAAGTCAATCTATGAAATTGAAATTTTAAAGATGTTGTAAAGAATTGAAATCGACCCAAACCTGAGGGGGTAAAATGTAATTTACCCTTATAGTATTTAACTTCGTAAGTGAGATTAAAAATTTCCTAAGCACATTAAAAATACCAAAGCAGTTAAAAATACAAAATCATATTAAAAATGCATTATAATTAATTTACAAGCGTGAAAAATGTGAGAAAAAAAATATATGCAAACACTCGCATCTCTACGCTTTGACAATGGGTACATCATCGTTTGGATTATTAAAACCCTACAAAACCTCATGAACAGTATTTTTAAGGGAGGGAAAAATAAATAAAAATTCATAATAATTAATGTTCTTCACAAAATATGAAGTAATATTTATGTAACGATGTGATATGTAAATGCTAATTAGTTTTTTCATTTGATTAGTTATTGAATTAAAATATATTTCTTTAACAAGTAATAAGTCAAGTCATATTACCTGTTAATATTAACAGTTTGGGTCAAGTCATATTTGACACACCCCGACCCAGAGGATCAAGGCGTGCTGGCCGTCACGTGAGCGTGACGTAACCAAAAGTGCGACACGGAAGCAAGATATAACAGAATATGAAGGAATTCAAACCAATCTCTAGTAGAACCACCTACTAGAATAAAAGGATGAGTTATAAGGTAAACACATAAATTCAGAGCATAGGTTTAAGTGCAGTCAAGTAGGACCAAAATAAAATACATCACCCGCAGTTGAGTCCTACATGCAGAACGTCTGTCAGAATGCCGAAAAAAGACCTCAAGAGCCACCAACCGCTAACTAGAACCTGGAGGGGCGCAAAACAAAGATGAGTGGGTCAGTAAAATCAAAGATTTTCCAAAACATTTCATTTAAAACATTTCTAACCCCTCACCGTAAAACCTGTATAATTTCCCAGAAAAATAGTATATAAACATATATATACACATATCATCAAAACTCAGCTCATATCCATCAACATAACATCTCAGAAATAATATGCCACGCCATGCCAAATATAATCAGAAATGCATCAATATCAATCAAATGAAATAATAAATCAACCGGAGACCCTACAATGGTCCTGTATGGCTGATTCTAAAGCTCAACATCCCACTCAACCGGAGTCACCACAGTGACCTATACGGCCCTGCCGGAGTCACCAACTGTGACCTGTACGGCACTACACTGCACATCACTCGGAACTACGTATAGTAGTCTGTACGATGAAAGGTGTATAAATACGCTCTAGTGCTTCTCTCATCAATCATCAGCGCACATAACTAAGGTCACCCACTAGTCGGAATCACATCTAGTGATCTATACGACTAGCATGTCGGAACCCTCACATGGTATGTACGACATCCACCTACTTGGATCCAAGGCGAGCGTGCGGTGTGGTGAATAATATAAGCACTATCACCTAGGGTGCAGGTTATGAGCTTTCAATGCAATTCTCATAAAATAACTCATCTGAATAATATAAAAACTCACATGTGCGTCCACCGCGTCAATTAACATATATATGCATCAATTATCAAACTAAATATCTCAACATTTGCATGCATGGCAATTTAAATCATAATTTTTATATAAACGCATTTTCTGGGAAAAAACAGTTGTATATAGGTAATACGAAAACAAAACTGCCCACTCACTGATAAGTCGATGGGTCGTAACCCCCGTGACGTCCCTGGATGCCCTCGTCCTCGGGATAAGTGTCACCTATATGCGAAACAACTATAAAAACGTTAATTTAAACACATAACCAACAATTCGAAATAACTTCTCATACGATGCTCAATTTGGGTATATGAATATACCACATCGACCTGCTCGACGTCACGGACGTCGAGAAATTTTTAAATAAATTTTTGGAGGCCGCACGCGCTCCCACGCGCCAGGACAGGCACGGGGACACGCGCCCCCACGCGCATCATCCCCAACCTTGGTTCGCCGGACTGGTTTTTCTAGCCAAACTTTAAACGCCTTGTTCTCCTTCGTTTCTCAACCATTTTCTTCGTATTTTATACCAAAATGAAGCCCCAAACATGTAGAATCACGATACACTATTTTTAAGCTCCAAAAACAACTAAATCTCACCGGAAAAATCCAAGCAAAACCGGCCAAACTCAACCCTCGTGATCCCGACGTCCAAATCCTTCAAACGAAGCACTCCGAGCTTCCTTGGGACCTCACTAAGCTCACTATAAGCTTAGAATTCCCTGAAACACAACATTTTATGTGTGCATGAACAGTGACCAAAAATGGGGGGTTCGGGTTCACGTGAAATCGAAGGTTCCACATCCTAAAACTAGCACCAATCAACTCAAAACATCACGAGGATGAAGATTCTTACCTTGTTTACTTCGATCCACTGAGTTTTGGGGGGTTTTGGGTGTGGCCGTACAATATGGGTGTGAGAGAGAGAGTGTCGAGATGGAGGAGAGAGAGAGAGCTACGGGATAGAGAGAGGGTAAGGGTTTAGATGGTCCCCTTTCAATCCACACTATCCATCATCTAAATCCCTAACCAAAATTAACAAAAACCAAATTTAATAATCCAACTCATCTTATTTATTTTCTTCCAAAACATATCTAAGGTTAAACCAAATAATGTCACACACATACCTTAATACCCGCTAAGGGTAAATCCGTCATTTCATGTCCTTAATAAGAAAATCCCGGGACGGGCTGTGACAATATTACCCTTCTTTTAGCGGGTATTATACAAAACGCTGTGTCAAAATATTGGGTATATCACAAAAACGACATGAATGTTAAATCTATGAATATACTCATTTTCTAAGTATAAAATATTACTTGTACTTAGAAAATTACGACATTACCAATATTATTATATTTTCTAATTAATTAGGTTTTTTCCCTTTAGATGAAAGTGAACTCGTAATTTAATAGTTGAATTTGTATTTGGCTTATATAGCTTCAAGCAGCAAGACCACCAACACGGTTCATACTTGGAAGGCCAAGGCCTGAAAGGTCACCTTTCCATACCTCAGCCTCCTCTCTGAGGCATTTTATCAAAACACTTGCCCCCTTACCAATAAAAAACTTTAGAGCAACCATTAAACAATTGAGCAAGTTGATGGGTGAAGAAGACGGCAATTTATAGTTTGATATATAATTATAATTAATTTATTGTGTGGTTTTATACAGATTCCCCTTCCTTCCACTCCATCCCACCCCAACCCAGTCCCTCCTTGGCAAAATATCATTGTATTGAGAAAGAATATACTTGCCACTTAGCAATATGATCTACTTGTACTCCTCTTCACTTATAAGGAGACGTCTTAAGTTTGAATCTCGTGAATGGGGAGTGCGCTACTAATTTATTGCCCAACCCCCTAGTGTAAGTATATCGTTGTATAAAAAAAATATCAATTATAAATTTTCTTCAATGTTTTGATTCAGTTGTAGCGCTATCAAAGTCATACCTAAATGTGGCTCAATTTTTTAGGACTAGTTTGAAAGTACTTATAAAATGATTTTTATAACTAATATTATAACCACTTCCAATTAATATGATCAATATATACTTAATTGTTATGTACAATATCACTACTAGAAATCAAAAACGAAAAGGATAGTTCAGTCTCGTTTGTGCCATAAATACAAATAAGGCTTGACGTGGGACGACCCTCTCTGAAGCAGCCAAGGACTCGGACACCACCCTCCTCGAAGTATGTCCAGCACGCAGACGACCAAACCTTGGAACCTCTTGCTTCCTTAAAGGACGAGGAACGCGTCACCAAACATACTGACGTCACCTCGACAATCATGCAATATGTCGTAAATCTCAGCAGAAGGTCACCAATCACGAGTTGTAGTTATTGTCAACGTCAAAAGATCGATCTATCCCTACTCCAACTCAATGATGTGATCGAAGTTTTCTTCTCCAGCTGCCTATAAATAGAATAAAGGCCTTCAAACATCAAGTGAATCTTCAATCAACAAAATTGCTCTTCAGCAAAAGACCTTAGCTCTTCAACCACAATTCAAAGTCTTCTTTTGAAGCAAAACACTCCATACGATCGTTGAGATCTAAGACTTTTACAGCTTTGCCACCCCCATGGTTTTATTTGATTGACGTGCAATTCCAACAACCATGATCACTTTACATCTTAGAGTTTATTTACTTTTCTAAGCGACACAACTCTACTCTCACTACTGTCTATTGGTATCATCCAATGGCATGCCTATTTTCTCTCTCAAGTCATCTCGTGGCACTGAAACCGAAAGCAACACTCGGGACAAATATGTGTTGAATTTAGTCAAGCTAGCCCTATCCGAGTTTTGGCACCAACAACTCTAAAAAATTTTACCATATACGGTTTAAGTTGAAAGTTTTTAATTTTGAGTCTAGGGAACACCGTGTGAATATTTTCTACTAAAATGGTAAACAAATAAAACACAATTGCGATTAAGATCATAGATGATATTAGAGTAACATTTGTGTGAGGGGCATTTATGAATGAGAATGATATGATTTTATAAGTTTTATTCGAGCATCAACTTGATATTAGAGTAACATTTGTGTGAGGAGCATTTATAAATGAGAACGATGTGAGTGTTTATATATATATGTTCAGAACGAAGATAAGCAGTTGTGAGTTATTTCGGGGTATAAATGAGTGAGGTATTATTTTATTATAGCTACTAATGCATCAAAAATTGTCTACTTATTAAGATATTGGGGGAAACTAATACCATATAATTAATTATTTTAAAATACAAAAAGAAACTCTACAGTGTTTGATTCATTTGTTGCACTACCTAACTCATGGTTAGATGTGGTTCAGTTTCTTAATATGATCACAATAAATATACTTAAATTTGCTTCTTCTTGAGAAGGAAAACAAAGAGTCGCTCTTGTTTGGGCTGAGAATTATTTGGACCTGGTTTAATTAGGTCCAGGCACTTAGGAAAGCACTAAATCCTTGTTGGGTGTTTATTTTTTACTAAAGTGAACATTGCTACGACCTAAATATTTTAAAAATGTTATGATGTGGCAGCTAGTGGACAGCAAGTTTACAGTGGTCTGCTACATTTCTTGGTGTAATCGATTTCATTAGTAGTCATGTAACGTTATTCCCTCCAAAGCTAGTTCATATCTTGTAACCAGCCAAAGAGTGCCTGACAAGCAACATAATTTGACAAGGTTGAAACTGTACAGTATATAATGAATGGTCAGATAGTGTGTTATGTGTCAATAGATTAGTAGGTTTGTTATAAGGAGGTTAAGTTAGTTATAAGGAGTCTTAGTTAACAAGCTAGATTTGAGAATATATAACAAATGTAATGACTGTAATTCGATATACAAAAAATATTACAACAATTCATTTCTCTCTCTTCACATCTCTTTTTCCTTATCTCTCTAAAGAAACCTTCGTCATCATTTATGCATTATTACATTTCTGCAACATAATCTATTGCTTTACATGGTATCATTCGCCGATCGAGCTCTTCTTGCTTGAAAGGTTATCTCGATCTTGGATTTCTTGCTTCCGCCGCTCAAGATCTTCTTCTTCTTCTCTGTTATCTTGGATTTCTTGGTTTCGGAATTGTAATAGCTTCTCTGTCTCACGATTATTCGTCTTTACAATCATGTCCACCAAGTGTTTGATATATTTCCTGTGTGAATTTTTCTTCAACAAGCTACAATGGTGACTGCCAACCAACTACAAATTCGAGTCAAGGGTATTCAAGCACTCAATCTGCAACCACTCAATGTATCTAGTTCAAGAACAATTACAACAAGAACAAGGGAAGAGGTAAATTCAACTATAATACCAATTCTCGATTTGGGAATTCTAGAATTGTCTACAAAACTTCTGCTTTCTGTATTCTTGGTGCATCTCCATCACATTCCGCCTGTCAAATATGTGGAAAATTTGGTCATCTTGCTAATACATGTCGATTCAGAAATATTGATGCTGTTGTAGTTGAAGGATGTCAGATTTGTGGCAAGAAGAATCACACTGCTCAGTTTTGCCATTTTCGAAATGCAAATATTTCTGGCACCACCCCTTAAATGACTGCAATGCATCTCAACTCCTCACCATCCACTCCAACATCAAATGCCTCTTCTCAGCAGTTCTGGCTTACAGATTCAGGAGCCACAAATCATCTCACTGCATACTTGCAGAACCTTTCTTTGGCTACTCCTTTCCCATCCACAGAAACCATTCAAATTGCAAATGGTGCAGGTTTATCAATTTCACTTATTGGTTCATCTGTCATTCCTACACCTACTCAAAAATTGAAGCTTAATTCAGTGTTATATGTTCCAAGAATTACTCAGAATTTGTTATCTGTGCACAGAATCTGTCTCAATAACAATTGTTGGCTAATTTTCGATGCTTTTAATTTCTGGATTCAGGACAAAGCCACATGGTGGATTCTGTACAAGAGGCGGTGCAGTAATGGGCTATATCCAATACCAATATCAAGACCACCTGTGATCATAATAGGCTATATCCAATACCAATATCAAGACCACCTGTGATCAAACATCAAGGATTTAAAGCTGCATTTCTTGGACAGCAAGTGCATTCCAGTTTTTGGCATAGCAGACTAGGTCATCCTTCTAATTCCACTGTCTCCACTATATTTAGAAAATCTAATATTCCAATACCTTCAGATGTATTACCATATATGTGTCATTCTTGTTTACAAGGAAAATTCAGCAAGTTACCTTTTTCACCATCTGTGTCTAAATCTGTAATTCCTTTTGAAATAGTGCATAGTGATGTATGGGGTCCTGCTCCCTGTACCTCTATTGATGGTTATAAATACTATGTGAAATTCATTGATGAATGCACTAGATATTGTTGGCTATTTCCTTTGCATAATAAAAGTGAAATATGTTATGTGTTTATTAGGTTATATCAATTCATTTTCAATCACTTTGCAGTCTTTATTAAAACCTTACAAAGTGATGGGGTTAGGGAGTATACAGGTAATGTTTTTCGATTCTTCTTAATAGATAAAGGAATCACTCATCAAATATCATGTCCTCACACTCCAGAGGAAAATGGCCTGGCAAAACGAAAACATAGGCATATTGTTGAAACCTCAATCACATTGCTACAACATGCATCCCTACCAGCATTTTTTTGGTCATTTGCTTGTCAAACTGCAATATACCTTATTAACAGGATGCCTTCATCAACTATAAATAACCAATCACCATTTGAGGTTCTTTTTCACTCTGTTCCAGATGTTCAACACCTGAGGATTTTTTATTGTGCATGTTTCCCATTATTAAAGCCCTATACTAGTAACAAACTGCAACCTAAAACCAAAATATGCATTTTTCTGGGATATGCATCTAAGTACAAGGGATATATTTGTTTTGAAGCTAGCTCAAAGCGCTTTTACATCTCGAGACATGTTATATTTGATGAGTGTGATTTCCCATATTCTTCCCTTGTCCAAAAGTCATACATCCATTCACAACAGTCCACTTCTGAAATTCCAGTGAGTTCAGTATCTGTTACTAGTAATAATACAATTGTTGGAGCACCATCAAATCCTTTTGTGTCTAGTCCTAGTGTTACACCTAGTTCTGCCAATGCCAGATTTCATAATTCCCCAAATGCACTAGATTTATCTTAGCCAACATCAACACAAGACACAAGACAACCCATTACTGGCACTTCACCTCAGTGTACTTCCTCTACCATCCCTGTGGTTTCTAAATTTCAACCAGAAACTTTACAAGTAATTATTCCTATCCCTCCATTGAACTTACACCTTATGCAAACACGATCAAAGAGTGGAATTGTCAAGAAGAAAGCATTCATTGCCATGGCCTCTGAGAATGCAGAAGTGGATTTATCTCAGATTGAACCAGTTTCTTACAAATCTGCTCTGAAATCTCCAATATGGTTTAAAGCTATGGTGGAGGAAATACAAGCCTTACATTCTCAGCAAACTTGGTCCTTGGTTCCTTTACCATCAAACAAAAATCTTGTGGGGTGCAAGTGGGTCTATAAGATCAAGAGGTATGCAGATGGAACTATTTCATGATACAAGGCCTAGGCTTGTGGCCAAGGGGTTCAATCAAGAGGCAGGTATAATATATTATGGTGAAACATTCAGCCCTGTGGTTAAGCCTACTACAGTGAGACTTGTTCTTGCATTAGCTGCACAATTTGGTTGGGGTTTAAGACAACTTGGTGTCAAAAATGCATTTTTGCATGGAATTTTGCAAGAAGAGGTATACATGGTACAACCTCCTAGTTTTGTGGATTCTGTCTATTCATCATCAGTATGCAAACTTCACAAGTCGTTATATGGTCTCAAACAAGATATAAAATATCGATGATATCGGAAATATCGGTAGTCCAAAAACACGGAAATTTCGATGAAAATATCGGGATATTATCGATATCGATAAAAATTGAATAAAAACCACGGAAATTATAAGAAAAACTTGGAAATTTTTATTGAAACTTTGCAGGATGTTTATTTAGTCAATTATCTATTAGTTTATCACAAAAAAAAATTGGAAGGAAATGTATTGCATAATGGATTTAATTGATTTAAGTTGATTATATAGCGAGCTGGCAAACATTGTGAGTGTAGAAAATATGTAGTAATTAATGAAAGAAATTTAAACACACCATAATCATTTATATATAATGAATTAGTACAATATTTTACACTTTATACATTGCATGGTAAGATATATGAGTAACTTAGTACCACATAGAGTTCCTATGAGGTTCAAAATTTTCACTATCTTCATCATCTCTATGCGTAGAGTAAGTGTATTGTGAAGAGTAGTCAGCAACCATGACAATGGCTTTCAAGAACCAAAACCCAAAAGTCAATAGGAAACCGAATACTTCGGTGTTTTTCGGGATTTCGGGATTACCAAACAAATGGGATTTGGAAACCAATCCCATATCGAAAATTTCGGTATTTTTCGGGATGGGATTCCCAAACTTCGGGATGGTTTTGGTTTGGGATTTTTCGGTTTGGGTTTGGGACTTTTTCGGTTTGGTTTGGGATTTTCGGGAATTTTTTCCAGCCCTACCATGTAAGTGACCACATTAAAAATAGAAAAATTAAAAACCACATGCCATTGACTAAGTAATTAATTGACACAATTTAAAAATAATACCACAAAAAATTTGGAATATGTGCAAATTTGTTTCTTGTAAAAAGAATTCAAAACAAAACCATATATATAAATATTTTAGCATATTATCACAAAAACATAAGTGATATGGTCGTTAAGGCGTTGAAGGAGTCAAATGGGAGAGGTTCGAATCCTTCTATGCGCAAAATTGAGACTTTTCAGAAATTTTCAAGTATTTTTGGATTTCATATCGCGATATATTAACGATAATTAAAGGATAAGTCATGAAATATCGTTATCTCAAAAAAAAAACGATAATATATTTTCGATATTTTGGTCCTTGGTCTCAAACAAGCCCCAAGGGCATGCTTCATTATTTGTCAAACACACTGATTCTGGGGTTGTCATCCTTCTCCTTTATGTGGATGATATAATTGTCACAAGGAGTACACCAACTATCATTCAAGAAGTCATTTGTGCATTGGCAACAGAATTTGATATCAAGGATCTGGGTCCACTCCATTATTTTCTTGGCATTCAAATTACACAAGCTGCAGAAAGGTTGTTTCTATCTCAACATAGGTATATTAATGATCTGTTGACAAAGACAGAAATGCATCAGTCAAAGCCCTGTGCTACTCCTTGCTTGCCTCATAATCGGCTTCTTAAGGATGATGGAACACCATTTGATAATCTTGCATTGTACAGAAGCATAGTGGGAGCATTACAATATCTCACTTTCACAAGACCTGACATTACATTTTTTGTGCATCAGGTTTGTCAGTTCATGCATTGTCCCATGGAGTCACATTACTTGGCTGTAAAAAGGATATTACGATATCTTAAAGGGACTCAACATTATGGTATTCAATATGTGAAAGGAGAGTTGGAGTTGAATACATTTAGTGATGTTGACTGGGCAGGGGATCCCAATGACAGAAGATCCACAACTGGATTTGTTGTTTTCTTAGGCACCAATCCAATCTCATGGTCATCCAAGAAGCAAAATACAGTATCTCGCTCTTCAACGGAAGCTGAGTATAGAGCAATTGCTACAACAGCTACTAAGATCGATTAGATCAAACAGATTCTTGCATTTCTGCCGATTGACATATCAACTCCATCGACAATGTTTTGTGATAATTTGTCAACGATTGCTCTTACCTGGAATCCAATTATGCATTAAAGATCCAAACATATTGAGATTGACGTGCATTTTGTTCAAGAAAGGGTTGCTAAACAATTACTTCACATGCAATTTGTATCCTCTACTGAGCAATTTGCTGATATCTTGACAAAAGGGCTGTTTGCACCATTGTTCCGTGCTCACTGTTCCAATCTCAGGCTTCGTGATCCTCCTCCTGAGCTTGAGGGAGGATGTTAACAATATATAATGAATGGTCAGATAGTGTGCCATGTGTCAATGGATTAGTAGGTTTTGTTATAAGGAGGTTAAGGTAGTTAGAAGGAGTCTTAGTGAACAAGCTAGATTTGAGAATATATAACAAATGTAATGACTGTAATTTGATATACAGAAAATATTACAACAATTCATTTCTCTCTCTTCGCATCTCTTTTTCCTTATCTCTCTAAAGAAACCTTCATCATCATTTCTGCATTATTACATTTCTGCAACATAATCTGTTGCTTTACAGAAACTATGCTCGATCCTTCACATTTGCATTCCATTGTATGAATTACTGCTTTCTCAATGGTTTACACAATCATTTGAATTTATTTCTAACGTTTGATACAGAGCCTACCAAAGGCTCCGCAAAGGCATCTAAAACCTATCCCGAAGCCGAATAGCTCTGGTTTACCACTGTTTAATAAAGAAATCTCTTACAGTTATGAGTTCGACAAGGAAGCAAGCTAGTAGGTATTTGAGCTGGAGGAAGAGGTAAGCTAGTAGGGAGAGGTACAATTTAGCTAGCTGATCCTCTGTCAATTATCTCTCAATAGCAGCTAAAGTTCAGATTCAAGGAGACACAATATAACCCCAAATAGACCTTGAACCCAATAGTTATTCTAAGGCAAAAAATATACATACAATAGTGTTTGACCTTTCGTCTTCAATTTGTCATAAATTCCAAGGAATTGAACCCAAAATCCTCAAATATTGAGCCACAAAACTATATCACAACTTCACAGTTAATGCAAATTCACATCTACCATCCCCTCCTAGCTATAATGTCATCATTGTCAATCATGACATCAAGGTATTTGTTGATCAATTTTCCAACCCAATTTCTTAACCAAAGCGCAATTAATGAAATCAACAGATATACCTTTGGCTGTATAATTTGTAATCCAACATATTTACTCATCAATTAAAAAAAAACACATATAGTAACCTAAGAATTCAAAATTCAACTTCCAAAAAATAAATCATATACCAGTTTTTCAAGGGAGTAATTAGGTTTTCATCCTTATTTTTACTACTCTATTGATTAAAACCTTATTACTTTTCAATTTTTGATCAAGGTCCTTTGTATTAATAATATCATTAATGATTTCAATAATAAAATATTTTTTATTTCTAAATATATTCATTTAATATTAAAAATGTTACAATTAGTATATTTATATTTATGGCTAAACTTTTTATCATATATTTTTATTTTTAGTTTGTACCTATTTTTTATTTGCAACCCTTTTTTAATTTGTACCAATTTTCCTTTCAATTTTAATTTGTACCCATATATTAATTTCTTTTTGTGCCCATATTTTTTAAAGTTTTATTTGTATTGTACCCATATTTTTTTATTTATTTGTACCCATTTTTATTTTTGCTAAATGTACCCATTTTGAAGAATGTACCCATGTTTTGATACAATAATTTTTTGGTTATTTTTTATGAATGTACCCATGTTTACACACAGACACACACAATAGTATATTTATATTTTAATATTTTTAATCCCACAAATTATGGTTTTTTATTTAAAATCTCATTACTATAAACAACTATAATTTTTAATTTTTAATTTAAAAAATATAGTAACGTACATAGAAATAAATTATCAATTAATTTTAGGGACTTGGATCAAAAATTGAAAAACAACAAGGTTTCAGTCAAAGATTGTTCATAACTAGGGACCGCATCTAAAGTCTCCCGTTTTTCAAGTAAAAGAAAAACGTCATAATTTCGCAATCCTTTAAATAAAAAATAAAAATAATCTATGATCATTTTCTAAATTCCAGGATGAAATTCCGATTTCAGTATTCGCATCCCAACAGTCTGTTCCTTTTACGACTGTTGATGGACTGAAAGCAGAAAGGAACACTTTTGCTTTGATATACTCCGCTGGAGGGAATACAGAATCTCACAACTAAATTAGCTGCAACAATGGGCTTACCATATGTTTCCTTCTTCCCAAACGATATTGCAGATCATTCCCACAACAACCAGTTTGTAGAAAGAGGGCATGTTAATTACCCGAACGAGACCACCTCGGTATCCCTAGACATATATATCAGTGGTGAGCTGCTAAAACCAGCATATCCATGATTACAGTTGACAGAATGCATATTTCAGTCTAAACTAATATGACTTCAAACTTTGCACAGGGGTTGCTTTCAACATATCTTCTAAAATCAGCATCCCCATTAAATCTGAAGGTATATAAAGCTTGCCTCTGTGTCATGCCAATAGGATATATTCTATATATTTTGAATTCGTCTCCTCCTCTTATGCTTTCAGGTCTTTCCGGTTTCCAAATGGGCACATGTTTCTGAGACAAAAATTTTGTGAGAACCAGAGACTCAAACGCTCCAAGAGTCAGATTGCCAGACCTGCTCCAGAAAAACAGAAATGAGATTAGTCCTCCAAATTTGGGAACAGAAAAAGAGATTTTGGGACATCTGAAGGCCGCATGAAGACAAAAATACTCAATTAATTTCTAAAAATGCAATGACACAAATTTTTCACTTTCTTTCCCTCAATTTCTGGAAATATGAAATAAACTTAGACGGAAATCTTTAAGCATGATGAAAAGTGGTGAGGTTCTAAATGATGTGCACAGACAAATCCCATTCCAGGCAGTCACGGATGCTAGTGTGGTAATTGATGTTAGGGAAATGAATTTACCTTAAGAAAATAGATTCCATCTTGAACCTCCCTCTCTCTCGTACATATAAGTGATGGACGACTCCTGAGCCTCTGTTGCACTTGCAAGGTCGTTTTTTGAACCCTTGGTTCATTTCTTCTTTCTCGCGAATCATTGTTGCCAAGTGAATGCAAAGCCGGCATGATGAATGTACTGCTGCCATGTCCACGAGGGCCTTGAAAGAATCAGATGGACCCTCATACTTCCACCTAATCATTAAACATCTCATTCAATCTTAATACAGAAACAATACTGAAACAAAGAAAAAAATATTCGACATATAACGGAAAAGAAGAGAAGGAGAAGAAACAAACAACTAATTATTCACCTCAATGACTGATTATATGCTTCAGGATTATCTGCAAGGTATTTCATTCTCTTGGCAACCGATTCAACATCCGTTAGCTCCTTAATATGTAAAATTGAACCAGGCGCAGGAGCATATTCTTCAATATTTGGAGCACCAACAACCACAGGTATAGATCCTGAAATAATAAATATCAACATCCATTCCCAGCATCTTTCTCGAACTTGAGTACATATATTGAACTTTTCTTTTGCAACAATTTTTTTCTCATATGCATGATAATAATCCTTATGTTAAATGTGAAAATGTAATCCATTAGATCTTGTAGATGTTAGAGGAAAAATGCTGCGAAGTCAAATATGAAAGCGTGTAATAGTCTTCCATCCATATTAACATCTTTCAAATTTGTTTCTGAAGTATTACCAACATTTTTTTTCCGCAGTATTTAAACAACATTTATCTGTTTTTCCATTTTGGTAAGGCATTCCTGGTTGCTCCCAAATTCTGATTTTTTCCTCCACACGTTTTCCATATTATACATCACAACTACATAATCAACACACCAGGGAGGAAGGAAGGGAGAGAGAGAGAGAGAGAGAGAGAGAAAGAGAGTAGTTTCATACCAGCAACAAGAGATTGGAAGTACTTTTCGGTAACATAATCCTCCTCATTGGAATTCTCAAAGGCCAAACTGAATTTATAGCGCTTCAGAGTTTCAACTTTATCAACTGCTAGATTTATTTTTTTTTTAAAAAAGTAAATTATTTAACAGTAACAGGTTATGTATATCTTATCAAACTATAGATATCAAGCCATAATATATCCGTTCATTCCCCAAGAGATACGTTGCACATGTTATATGCACACATACATGAAGATATATTCTTAACCCTTCAGGCAAGTATATTCCCTGTGCACCATGTTGTTGCCATATACAGAACAAGAAAAAAAAAAATACTAAATCCAATAGATTTCTCTCCTAGAGGCAACCACATTCATATATTGTAATGAACAAACATTAAACTCTTTTTATACCCAAAAAATTTTAACTTTTTTGAGGTGAATATCCAAATGACATGTTCGCAAAAGGTAGTGATGTTTATCTCTATTTCACTTTTAGTGGATTTGATTCAAGATGCCAACTATTTAGCCAATATATGGAACATCTAGTCCAATGTGATTGCAAACCTAGAATTCCATTTCCTACAAGACAGCATGGAGCCAACGCAGAATATGTTCAACACAAACAAAATAAAGGCCACGATAATTGAATCCCAGATTGTTGCAAACCTCATACGACACACCAAGAAAGCACGACATACTTACGAAAGCAAGAGAGTTACAACTCCAATTTGTAATGATTTGACACGAGAAAACTAACACAATCTAATTATTATTACTTTACAAAGCATATCTGAAATGTCATACCTTTTCCATCACGGTTTCTGTGGCAACCACCATAAGAGTCTATCTTGATGTTAGCACCTTCAAGTGCTTCAAGAGCTTGCAAGCGGAAGTTGAGGGCACCACAGTTGGAAATAAATGCAGCTGCTAGGGCTGTCTCAGTTTTTGGCTGGACAGGTGCCATGATGTCGTACTCAGCCCAAGAAAAATATCCAACAGGAACATCCGATGAGAGACTAGTTGTCATAACAATATTAT